GGCCAGGGGACCCAGGAATGCCACACCTCAGAAGGCCAAGGCCAGGGTCCCTTCTCATCAAGTCCCCTTTTATTTCACCCATCAGCTGACCGGGTGAACAAGAAGGGAATCAAATTCTACAGCGACTTCATCGACGCCCTTCTGAAGAGCAACATCACCCCCATCGTGACCTTGCACCACTGGGACCTCCCGCAGGTGAGGGTTCCTGCAGGCTCAGGAGCCCCAGGTGACCTCAGGGGTGGCCAAGGTGGGGCAAAGGCTGGCGGCTGGACAGGGACATGGGAGGAAGTGAAGTAGAGATCTCTCTGACCCACTCACGGAGAGAGGTAAGGCTGGTTTAACGGACATTTGTGACGAGTTGCGGGTTTTGATGTTTTCCAAAACATTTGGCCTAAAAAGAACAGATAAAACAATAAAGAAAGAAACATCTTTTGAGTAAGACCTGATGACATGTTATTTGTCTAGGGAAAGGAAATTCCGGGGCAAAATACCTCTAAAAACCAAAATTAGTCAAAGGGAGAAATAAAGTTTAAAACCTGTTTATTGCTCACAAACTGCAGTCCCAGGCGTCTTCTCTGCTCCAGCAGCAACCACACGGCCCTCCCCATCACCTCTCAGGTACAGATAAGCCCTCCGTTGCCCAGGTAATCATCCATTAATATGGAGATGAACTTCTCCACCTCTGAGGGAAGATGCAAATGCACTAAAGCCATACTTCTTTCCACCTCTGAATGCCTATTGATATGCAGATATACCAAAGTCAGGCGAGATATTCTGGAAATGCTACAATTTTACCCACACATGTCTAGCCTTTTGTCTTCCTAGCTTGTCTGAGCCAGCACCATATGTGCTCATGTATGAGCACACCCCTCCCAAGAAATTTCCTCAAAGTCTCAACATGCTTAAGGATGTCACTGTTAGACATCACTGTTCAAGCAGTTTGTTTCATTCATTCATTAATTCAAGGCCTCTCTGAGATCACAGCCTGGCCAGGAGAGGAGTGTGTATACAACTCTCTGTGACACGGGGCTGTAGGAGGTCAGGGGCTGGGGATGTGGTTTCAGGGAGGTGTTGGGGAGAAGATGGAGTTCCATCAGTATCCTGATGGTCTGGCCATGAGGTGGGAGGAAGGGGTGTTCTGGTTTGAGGAAGCCTGGCAAGAAGGCAGGGGTGAGGCTGAGCCAGTGATCCAGTTGGAGTTTGGGGAACGGGCAGGAGGGGAAAGGAAAGAGGCTGGAGGAGTAGCTTTGCGCCAGGCCTGGAAGGCCTTTGGTGCTGGGCTCAGGTGGCTTGGGTCTCTGCTGTGTGCAGGGCAGCCACCTGTGGCCTCTAAGCTGGGGCTGGGGCCACAGAGCTCGCTTTAGATGAACTGGAAACCACCTTCCAGCTTCCGCCCTGGATAACTGCTTTCACTAACTAACCTGCCCCTGTAGGTTCCCTCAAACCTACCAAGGAAGGCTTGGTAGGTAATCTCAATGGAACGATGACTCTTTGGGAATCTAGCCCTCATGAGCATGTGTCTTTGATTAGGAGAGAGCCCTTCCCTGAAGAAAGCAGAACCCACTCTCATAACAGGCTTCTGGGAGGTTTCTGACAGCTGCACAGCCCTCAAAATACCATTCAGAGCGTCCATGGCTGACATCCTATTTATTCCTTTAGAATTTATATTGAAGATTCTTTTCCCATTATCAGACCTCCTTCCCCTGGCAAATTTTCTTAAATATTTAATTCACGAAGTTCCTCTTAAGCATGAGTCTCAAACTTCTCTCCTGTTCATATGAGGCATGTCACACGGCTTAGCCCCACATCGCCTTTCTCTCGTGGGCCATGGCAGCCACTGTCTTCAAGTCCTAGTGCCCAGGACCCCGCAGCTCTGCTCCCCTTCCCTCTAAACACCCTCCGTAGCTGTGACCACCCAGGTTCCTCCCATAAACTTGGCCCAGCGGCTCAAGCTTTTTCTGGAAATGGGTGCCTGGGGCATCTGCTTCTCTCTCCACTCCTCTGTTCGCAGCTGCTCCAGGTCAGGTATGGCGGATGGCAGAATGTGAGCATGACCCACTACTTTAGTGATTATGCCAACCTGTGCTTTGAGGCCTTTGGGGACCGGGTGAAGCACTGGATCACTTTCAGTGACCCTCGGGTAAGCAGGGTGCCTCTGTGGGTGGGAAACCCACTTCCTGGACCAGAGTGCCCCTGCCTTTTTCACAAGTCCTGTGGGCCCCACTTGCCACCCCTGTAGACAATGGCAGAAAAAGGCTATGAGACAGGCCACCACGCACCCGGCCTGAAGCTCCATGGCACTGGCCTGTACAAGGCGGCACACCACATCATCAAGGTGAGCAAGGTCCTTCTGGGAGCGAGGCCTGGGCTCAGGGTGAAGGGACGCCCCCCATGTCAGCTCAGCCTGCCCCAGGGGTCTGAACCTGACCTCGGTCTTCTGCCACTCCACCTCCAAACCAGCCTATCCCGTAGCACCGTTGCACCTCACTTCCGGAGGGACTACCCTGTCACCCAGTGCTGAGCTGGACACGGTGGTTGAGACAGTACAGAGGCTGCTCTCTGGAGCTTACGATCTAGCCAAAGGGATGGAGCGCATGCATATGAGAGCTTGTCACCTGGGGGAATAGTGACAGGAGGGAGGAGGTTGATAGTGAGTTAGGGGCTAAAATCTTCAATGAATGAATGAAGTTACTGGAGGTTGGTAAAGGACAACGGGAAGAAGGGGTTGGCAGTGCTCACCTGAAAGATGGATCTCAAAGGACCTGGGGTTTCGGAAGGAGGAAGGAGAAGTAGTTTGGGCGCAGTGGTAAAGAGCAAGGCAGACGTACCCTATGGTGTGTGGGTGTGAGAAAACAAACGGCCTCTGCTCTAAAGGGCTGCAAGTGGAGGAGGCCTTTAGGGGCAGCCAGGCTCCGTGAGGGCACAGGGGTGAAGGAGACAGGCAGAGGGGGCGCCAACAGCGTCTCACTAGTTACAAGGCACCTGGAAAGCCTTGAGAAGAGGGGGAGGCAGCTGGGTCACAGTACAGGCCACAGAAGAGGATGTGATCATGGCCAGAAAACAGGGACATGAGGCATGACGGGGTGGCCCCAATGGACTTCCTGTGTCACCTGGGGGAATAGTGACAGGAGGGAGGAGGTTGATAGTGAGTTAGGGGCTAAAATCTTCAATGAATGAATGAAGTTACTGGAGGTTGGTAAAGGACAACGGGAAGAAGGGGTTGGCAGTGCTCACCTGAAAGATGGATCTCAAAGGACCTGGGGTTTCGGAAGGAGGAAGGAGAAGTAGTTTGGGCGCAGTGGTAAAGAGCAAGGCAGACGTACCCTATGGTGTGTGGGTGTGAGAAAACAAACGGCCTCTGCTCTAAAGGGCTGCAAGTGGAGGAGCACAGGGGTGAGGGCACAGGGGTGAAGGAGACAGGCAGAGGGGGCGCCAACAGCGTCTCACTAGTTACAAGGCACCTGGAAAGCCTTGAGAAGAGGGGGAGGCAGCTGGGTCACAGTACAGGCCACAGAAGAGGATGTGATCATGGCCAGAAAACAGGGACATGAGGCATGACGGGGTGGCCCCAATGGACTTCCTGCAGAAGGTGGGCAAACTGATCAAGCAGAAAGACAAGGGACCACTGGGTGACACACCAACCCTCAAATCCACGTCTGGGAGAGGACTTTCGTTCTCCCTACATTTGGCTTATGATTTCTTAAACTATGAATATTTAAAGGGCAGCAATCTGAAGACATCAATGGGTTATGGATAGAGAATATAGAGAGGGCAGGTTGACATATTTGATTCCATTTCTCAAGACTGCTCCAGATGCCTGGTATTTTCCTAACTTCTGAGCACCTAGGAGAAAAGTACTGACTAGGTACCTACGGAGGACAAACAGGAACAGAACAATCAACTTGGCGAAATATCTTAAAAACAAGAAATAACATAAAGTGATGGTTTGTGTGTTCATGCCAGATTTAGACTAAGTTTCCTCTACAGCACAAAGGGACCGAGTGGCTCTGGAAGTCAGAAGCAAAGGAGACCACAGGTTGGGATAATCAAGGCTGGCCTCCTGAAAATGATAGGGCTTAGATCTGATCTCTAGAATTAGGAAGGAGAGAAAGGCCACCTCAGCGTGACAGGAAGGAGAAATGGGCAGGGTAGGTCCCTCTGATGAATTCTTCCTCCTTCAGGCCCATGCCCAAGCCTGGCATTCTTACAACAACATGTGGCGCAGCAAACAGCAAGGTGAGAGATCTGCTACGAAAGCCAAGGGCATGGAGGAGTGATGTCCTTCCGACCTGCCACCTGCTTTCTTTCTTTTCTTATAAGGTCTGGTGGGGATTTCACTGAACTGTGACTGGGGGGAGCCTGTGAACATTAGTAGCCCCCGGGACATAGAAGCCGCCGAGAGATACCTGCAGTTCTGCCTGGGCTGGTTCGCCAACCCCATCTACGCTGGTGACTACCCCCGGGTCATGAAGGACCATATTGGTGAGCCAAGTCATGTTCGTAAGCACCAGATACCGCACAACAGTCCTGAGCTCAAGCGAAATGTCCACAAGGCAAGGGGATGGGGAACTCCAGACCCCAAGGAATTGAGAACTGGTTATTGAAAGATGTGGAGCGGGGAGGGGGCAGACACCAAAACAAATCCCTAGACATGGAAACTGGAAATTCTTCAGAACCCAGGGAAAAAATGTAGCAGTTCTCCAAGCTGCCCTCTCTTGTGCTCTGCTGTCCTGTCTCCTCTCCCCTGCTCCACTCCATTCTAACTGCAGTGAAGTAGGTGAGAAAAGATCAAAGACACAGTTGCCAGCAGTGTCATTCTACTGTCAGTTCTTTCTGTCACTTGAGAAATACTTCCCAAGCTCTGGTTTTCCACAGTATCAGAAAAGAGAATACAGACAGGTAGAGCGCACCAGGCTGGATCAGTTTGGATGCTTTTAAGTGCTGTTTGACAGAAAACTCCAGCTAGAATGGCCTGAGAAGCAGGAAATTTATCATCTCACCTGAGTCCAGAGAAGGGTGATTCAGGGTCGGTTAATCCAGCCTTAAAAACGCCCCCTCCAGGGATTTTGAGGACCCAGGCTCATTCTGTCTTTCTACTCCGGCCCCTTTAGAGAGCCCATCAAGCACTCCCCTCGTGGCCACAAGATGGCTACAGGAGCTCCAGGCATCACATCTTTCCACATCAACACCTAGATGCAGAATAAAGGAAATAGCTGTCATGCCTATTTTTAGGAACAAGGAAAATCTTCCCAGGAAACAAGCCTCCATCCTCAGGTGACTTCCCTCCAGGGATGCAACTACCACATGGCCCAGCATGCCCTAGACCACTGGGACTAGGGCCTCAGAGGTTGGAAGGATCCAGGACTCCCACAACAGATGCAGCCCCGTGGAAGAGGGTGAGGAAGGGAGGAAATAGGCAGGGACTATTGCATAGGCAAAGAGCAGGGTCTGGCCATAGAAATCTAAACACAGTATCTCTGCATTTGGAGTTATCAGCCCACAACCCCCTAAAAATAATAAGAGACAAGGATGACATGGAAATATATTTCAATCTTACACAACAAGGCTATTTTCGATGTCTGACTAAGAACTGTGAACATTTCAAATTTTCCCTTTCTAAAACACCATTTATCAAACTTACCTGAAACAGGAGCAGCAGGTTCTAATCCCAGCTCAGCCACAAACCAGGAAGCGGCTCTGGGCAAGGCGCTTCACCTCTCCTCTCTGGGTGGCTGTCTTATCATCGGAAATTGAAGGATTGGCCAAAACAATCTCTCAAAATCTTTTGGCAATAACTAGTTCTGTGACATGTCTATACATATACACTCAAAATCTTGAGAATGATTTCCTCAAGGCACACAAGGAAAAAGCGCTCGTGGCCGGGACAGTTCCCACATCCCTGCAGGCGGGTCCTCTCACTCACGCTTCAGTCACTCTGATCCCACCAACTGCAACTTGCTAATACTTCAGGCGGAAATCGGCCTGAAGCTTGCCTTTGTACAATGTAGAAAGCAGTTCATATTTTCTTCAGCAACGAAAGCATTGTTTGAAACCTTGTGCACAAATTACTTCCAGGTGCACCATAAGCACCTTGTGTTCACAATAAATGTATTAAAGAAAGTAATTCTAGACCAGCACTGTCCACTAGAACTTTTTGGTGCTGATGGAAACGTTCTATGTCTGTGCTAATACAATGGCCTGTAGCCATTTGTGTCTACATAAATTAAAAAATTTAAAGTATTAAAACTTCAGTCCTTCAGTGTAACTGAATTCACGATGCAGTCACACTAGCCATATTCCAAGAGCCACATGTAGTGAGTAGCTACTGATTTAGACAGTACAGTGACAATACCCTGTGGTTTTCCTTGTTACTAAATATAATGGAAAGTAATGACATGCTAACAATTCAAAGGTATTTAATATGTTTCTTACTCATTAAACCAATAGCCTTTTTGGAAAGATTTTTTTTTTGTTATATTCCAGAATAACTCATAAAATATTACTCTATTCATTTATAACTTTTTTTGCAGTTGACATGCATGTTTCAAGTTTAGGTTGAGCCTTGAACAACATGGGTTTGAACTGCACAGGTCTACTTACATGTGGATGTTTTTCAATTAATATATTGGAGATCTTTTGGAGCTATATGACAATTTGAGAAAACATATTTTTTCTTACTTTATTGTAAAAATGTAGTATATAATATATATAACATGAAATGTGTGTTAATCGACTGTTGATGTTATCAGTGAGGCTTCCTGTCGGCAGTAGGCTATTAGTAAAGTTTTTGGGGAGTCAAAAATTATATGTGGATTTTCAACTGTGCGGTGGGGAGTGGGGGATGTTAATGACCCTAACATCGCATTTCACAGGAACATGCAACTTTTTCTTTCCATGTTGGTGTATCATGTGCTGCCTCATAGTGTTGTCCTAACAGATACATGTAATGACGGATATGTGTGTGTATATATATCCCACCGCTTACATAACCAGTCTCTCCGGACACTTAGGTTGTTTCCAGTGATTTGCTACTCAATCTACAATGAAGATCTTTGTACATACATCCTTTTACATATTAGTAAAATGTAGGATAAACAGATTTGGATCTGGTCAGTGAATGGACAAATACTTGTACAATTTTGAAAGCTAGGACAAAATTTCCCAACCCAGGGATTGCGGCCGCACAGCACCACACAGGGCACAAACATGGCCTGTGCGCCCCCGCCACCGGCCTTCTGGTCCCCTTCCCACCGGCAACCAAACTTCCCAGTTTTTCATATAAGTAATAATATAGGACTCCAACTCCACCCCTTTCTAGATGGCTACACCGTTGTCCACATACCACAGAGTAACATGAAAATATTACTTTTAAGCAATATAAACTTTAATATTTTTGGATGGTATTCAAATGTCAAAATCCTAGGTTGAAAGGCTAAAGTACATTTTCTATACAAATGAATGCCACAGCCCAGGATCTGGGTAACAGCTTTCATGTAAATATGCCAGCATCATGATTGTGAAAAAGAAAAACTTTGTTAAATTCTATTTTTCTCTCTCATAGGAAGAAAGAGCGCAGAGCAAGGCCTGGATGTGTCGAGGTTACCTGTGTTCTCACGCCAGGAGAAGAGCTATATTAAAGGCACATCTGATTTCTTGGGATTAGGTCATTTTACTACTCGCTACATCACAGAAAGGAACTACCCCTCCAGCCAGGGGCCCAGCTACCAAAACGATCGTGACTTAGTGGAACTGGTTGACCCAAACTGGCCTGATCTGGGATCTAAATGGCTATATTCTGTGCCATGGGGATTTAGGCGGCTCCTCAACTTTGCTCAGGTGATTGTAACATCAAGGTATTTAAAGGACATTTTTTACCTGAATCCATGACCTTACAGCTTAAGCTCAAGTGCCCACATTTAAAAATTAATAAAACAAAATACTCCTACCTCAGAGGCTACTAGATGGAAGCTTTAGTCTAACTTTAAGTGCTGTTGTGACTAAGTGTTTCAGTGTACCTAAAATTCTCACCTCACATTTGGCTATTTGGCTGCCCTTCTCACTTGAAATGGAATACTTGGGAAAGAGTAAGACCTTAAGTACATTTCCTCTACAAACATGATTTACTGAGAAATACACTCTTTCATATGAACTTGCCACCTGCCTACATTCATCTCTAAATAAGCATGTGAACTGGCATCTACTAAACACTAAATCCACCCAATTAGAATATGGCAGTCTTGAGTATGTGTTCCTGTATGTGTCTCAGACTCAGAAACCCACCTGTAGGTTGGAATTTTTAAGAGTCAGTACTGTGACTTACTTGCAGACGCAGTATGGTGATCCTCCCATATATGTGACAGAAAATGGAGCATCTCAAAAATTACAATGTACTCAGTTATGTGATGAGTGGAGGATTCGATACCTTAAAGGATACATAAATGAAATGTTAAAAGGTGAGTTACAAACCAAGACTGTCTTCACATATTTTTCTATTCAACTTGGACTAAGTTTGTAATATGACTAAAACTTGTTTCCAAGTTCATCGATGAAAACACTTAAGATTATCTTCACAGTATACTTTTCCTAGCAGATGAAGTATATTAAAAATGGATCAAAATGTCTCTGCAGCTATAAAAGATGGCGCTAATGTAAAAGGGTATACCTCCTGGTCTTTGTTGGATAAGTTTGAATGGGAGAAAGGCTACTCGGATAGATATGGACTCTACTATGTGGAGTTCAACAACAGAAATAAGCCACGCTATCCAAAAGCTTCAGTTCAATACTACAAGAAGATTATCACTGCCAACGGGTTTCCCAGTCCAAGAGAGGTAGGCCAGTTATCTATTGATGTTCCTTGTTCCGGGTTTCAGAAGAGCTAGGCAGCTGGGGTGCGCAGAGGTTGCCAAGCACCTCTCCTCGCTCCTCCGTGAAAGAGGACAGGGTATGTGGGCGCATGGTCCCTTGTCTTCTCCCCTAACTTGCACTACCGCTTTGTTCATTCACTTAGTTAGAATGGGGTAAATATGCCTTAAAATTTGACTGTAACTGGCAGAGCATTAGGGGACGACTAAGGTTATATAGGAGATCTGTTTGCTTTAGGTTGTGAGGTTGTGATAGTCAACAAAGACAGTTAAATGTTATTCTAAATGTGTGTTTTAATGCAAATACTGCCTGTTCATCCACATATGTGAAAAGTAAATCAAATGTAAAATGAACATTTTATTTTCACTTTTTTCCACCAGTCATTGAAATGCACTCGTTCCAAAATAAGATTTAAAATAATCACACTTAATAATCCTTTAAAACATACCAAACAGCTTCAATAATCCATACATTTTTCTGTCAGCAATCTATGTTGATATCTTTGTCAGGGAATAGACATCATCATTTAGAATGTCTTTAGCATTCTTTTAGGGTAAGCCCAGTGGAACTATAAATGGCAGTGGTAAGTGATAGCTATCAGGCATCAACTAGTCTTGCATTACTAGAAAAGCACTAGATTGCAAGCTCCTTAAGAATAAAGACTGTTTTGACTCCCTCACAAGGAGGCACATAGGTATTAATAAATATTAACTAATTTAAACTACAGGCAGATTTTTTTATCCCCCATTATTCCAAAAATGACTTCACACAACAGAAAATCAGTCTACAGCAACATTATTTAACAAGCGGATTTTTATTAGGTGGAAAGCTGGTACCTCAAAGCCTTGGAAACTTGTTCTATCAACAACCAGATGCTTGCTATAGGTGAGTGTATTTTAATTGTTCCCTTTGATAATTAAGCCATATAATTACACATATGACATTATAAAAATCTCAAAATTTGGGCCTAACTGAAATCAATCTTCCAAAACCAATTTAAAATGAATTTTTAAAAAAAATTTGAAGCAATGTCAAATTTCTACCGTACTATTTTAAAAACCATTAAGGAGAAGTATTTTATCCATCCTAGCTTTCATACTGTAAATTTATAATCTATTTTTGTTATCGTGGGCTTTGTGAAAGGAAGGGAATATTCAACCACTATACCAATGGAATGAAGAAAAGTCAAAGAATACTTGAGGAGATATTATATTTGCTCATTCAGCAAGTATTAAGCACTCACTATTAGCCAGGGGGTGTTTTAAGCTGTGGGGATATAGCAATAAACAAAACAAGGTCCCTACCCTCATAGAAGGCATCATTTTTATGCAATGGGATCTAAGAGGCTCAAAGATGTAAAGTAACAAAGATTCACCTACATATCAAATGCCAACACATATAATTTGTTACTTTGAGTTTTGTCTTTCTCTCTAAGGGCAGTCAGAGAAATACACTTTGTTTTTTAAGAAATTCATCTTTAATGTGGTATCAGTGGTGGAGTTCTAGACCAAATCCTACCAATTCAGCTATTTTTATAGGCCAACACCCCCTCCGTCTAAATAACCAGGTAATAATGATGAATATGCCAATAAACTATAATAAACCTTTATTTTATCACATTAGAGACATGATGTAAAATTTACCGTGAGTCTATGAATTCCATGGGCAGGGCCTGTCCCTTATTTAATTACCTCAATAACCAGAATACCTGACACAAAACCTAAAAGCAGGTATTATAAAAATGTCCTCTACTATATTCATGTACATAAAATATGCTTATCACTTAAATCTTCAAGATGATTAACTATACAAGAATTTTACCATACAAAACTTCAATATAGAAATTTCTATACCTAAGATACACAATAACATCTCTGAAAGGTTGGAAATGTTTCCCAAGGCCTTTTCTTTCACAAATTGCCCAGTGAAAATTATAGAAACCATGGGATATGGTGGCTAATATTCTCAGATTAATTCATGGTAATAAGCACAGGCGCTGACAGACAGCTAGATTTTACTGCAGTGCCCATGGAGGAAGCAAATCTAGGCATTCTTTATCCTGTATTTCCTGAAATATCCTACAAAGCCCTCACATAATTTTTTATACTTAATTCACTAGGCTCTCTTTCATAGCAAAGGAGATTAACTGGAGCGCTTTGATGATGCCATTTTCCCTTTTTCAAGTACAGTTAAGGCTTTCAGGGTGGGGCTGTATTCATGAAGATGGAGTCATTCTCACGTGTGGGTGGTTCTCTCCCACTCAGAGCCCTTACTCAGTCACATGCGGATGGTGACGGAGATCGTGGTACCGACAGTCGGCACCCTCTGTGTGCTCATCGCTGCAGTCCTCCTGACGCTTCTCCTGCGGGGCCAGGGCTGAGACGAGGTTACCCATTTCGCAGATTCTTCTCTCATAGGACATCTTCAGGATCTTCCTTCTCTTTCTGTTTTGCAGGTTTATATACATTTCTGTTTTCAGGCTCTGTGATAATTACTGGTTTTGGGTTTTATTTTGTTTTGGGTTTGGGCTAGGATTTAAAAATTAGAAAATAAAAATAAGCATAAATGAATAAGTCACCTGTCAAATCAATGTTACTATTTTGCTGTGTATTACACCCATTTTCATTTTGCAAAAAAGGGATCATAGGGCACAAACTGCTTTGTTACTTGATTTTTTTCCTTTTAAAATTTGTCCAGAAATTTTAATGTAGAAATGACTGCCATCTCAGCACTGTCTTACATATGACGGACAGTCAGTCATTTATAAATAACCCTTTTGGGTTAAAAATCCAATCAGGCAACCAAGGAAAAGCTTTCTTACATTAAATTTAATTCACTTTACTGAAATAACCTCAAAGAAATACATCTAATTTATGTATCTTCTCCATAACTAGATGATTCTGCTTTTTTCAAATAAAGGTCTATTTTATTCTTAACTATGCCAGAATTAACTAATCTCCATTTATTTGGGGATAAAATACAGCTTAAGAAAAAATGGTATTAGTTATTTTATTCATTATCTGATTCTACTGAATGTTATTTTTGAAACACAAAAACAGCAAGCTAGTAGAAAATGCTACTAAATATAAATTCTTTTGATTAATACCATCTCAAATTAAACATTTAAAAAAGGGCATCTGCATTTGGGCCTTAGTGCTACAGCTGGGCTAGGGTAAAACTGTTGTGAACAAAACTCATCTTTCAATGTCAAATGAGTATGTCTTTTCAGGGTTTTCCTCTTCCATCAACGTTTTTGAAATCAAACTCTCCCACTATATATAGAAATATAAAACATAGAAATTAGTACTCAAAAATTTTTTGTTTCTCTGGTTTTAGGATTAAACTGACCTATGAAGTTGGCTACAGAAAGTAGAAAAAAAAATTAAAGACTTGCACTGCTCAGTAACGTCTGATAAGCCGTTTATGTGACTACTGATAATCCATATTCCACATTTATGTTGTAGAAAAGAATTAAAACATGAGGCATTCGATACAAGTATTTGGAGAGAACAAAAAGCAAACACACTACCTTACAGAAGACTCCATCAGCACCCTTCACTTGAAATGCACCTGGCTGCAGGTAACCGTGTTAGTAAAGGATACCCTTTCTTCCAGGCTGCCATTTAATGTTAATTCAGGAAAATCTGTAACCAGAGAGAGATCAGAATTGCTTACCACCCTGCTGGCTGTTCTACCATACATACTGCTGAATTTTACAATAATCAAGAGGTTAATCTGAATGACATGTGTCTTCTACGTGAAGAGAATCCATTAGACAAAAACCAGCAAGACCAATTCTGTAAAATTAGCCCTCTTACTGCACTGACAATATGATTAGCAAACTAAAATATAAAGCATATTTTTAAGTTAAATATTTTTAATTGGGGAACCTACGGCTGTATTTTTTGTGCCTCATCCACCTTGGCTGAACAGCTTAATGTATTTTTCAGAAAACAATTTCTAATCTTAGGGTTGCACACATCCTTTTTTTTCTCCTGAAGACTATTGTATTTCAAAAATAAATGGTAGTTAACATTTAGATGAGATGACTTCCACTTCCTTGTGGGTCAACATTTTGGTTCCACATTCTCACCATTAGGACAACCATTTGCTGAGCACCCACTGGGTGAGCAGCGCTCTGACGGACACTGTTTTTGTTCCCCAATGATTCCAAATCATTATTCTCTTCCCATGGCAGCTAAAAGTACACTTTACTCTCAAGTCGGCCTGCTTTTGATGTTAACCATTGTACTTGAGTATCATACCATTAGGTATCTTGAAAAGCTGGTATTCAACCTAACTGCTTAGTCCAACAAAGTAGAAAGTCTAACTTCTTAAATGCGTATCTTCAGCAAAAAATAAATCATTATTGGACTTTAATATTTACAACTATGGCTTTGTTTACATAGCCCATGACTTTTATAAATGCGGTCCTCCTTCAACATTACTTTGGACTAAAGGTCACTGAATGGTTTCTAGACAAAACACATCAAGAATATATGATGAGTAGACGAGGTTATAAAGTTTGAATGCTTTTGCAAGCATGCAAATATACTTCATAAGAATTCCTTATTTTCATAGAAGGAGTCAGTGGAACAATGTATTAACAAATTGCTTTAACTGTAACATTCAGAACAACTTTCACTCTTTTTTGAAACAATTTGCATAAAAAGGACTACAGAAGATATATGTTCAATATACTTCACTTATTTAGCATCATTGGAAAAAGGTATTTAATCTTGCATGAATTTCCTCATAACAGAGGTTTAATCTGTATGTAATAAAATTTCTTTTAAAATGGCATTTTCGAAAATGTATCTCAAATGTCCATGTCTTTAAAACTTTATTTTTAATCATAAAAGTAAAGCTTGTCTTTAAAAAAAAATGAACCTGAAACAACATATGTAGATAAAATGTTTAAATTGGCGGTGCTCAAACTAAACTGCACGATGGAATCGCCTGGAGAACTTTCCAGTGATTCTGATTTACTTAGTCAACTATTAGGACTTTAAAAGCTCCCTAGATGACTTTAATGTTCAGCCAAAGCTGAGAACTACTCCTGCCTTCCCCATTCCACACCTCAGAGTTAATATTTTGTTGTACCCTTCCAGACCTTTTTCTATGCCCCAGTCTCCATATTTTTTCTGCTCTTTTGTTACTGTAAACAATACCACAATTAATAACTTTGTTCATTGGTCTTTTTGCACAGAGCTGGTTATATGTCTATAGAATAAATTCCTACTAATGAATCTGCTTGCCCAAATATGCATGCTTTTTAAGTTTTGGTAGATACCGCCCTCCACAGAAGCTGTACAGTATTACACTTCAACTGGCAATGTGTGAGGTTGACTGCCCATTGCCCCATCTTCTTGCCAGCATTGTGACACCAAACTTTTTAATCTTTGATAATCTGACAGATAAAAGATGTTATCTATATAATGTAAATTTGCATCTCTCTTATTATAAGTGGGGTTGAGCACCTTTTATTTTGATGATGACATTTGAATTTCTTTTTTGGTAAACCGTTCATTTTACTTGCCCATTTTTCTACTGAGATATCCATATTTTTCTTACTGAGTTGAAAGTTCTTTATATACAAGGTAATGTAGCCCCTTTACTAAATATGAGCTGCAAATTTCCTTTCCTAGTTTCTCACTTGTCTGTTGTTTTGCTTCTCATATTTTTTGTAATGCAGAAAATTTTCCAATTTTACATAGCTGATTTTCAATCTTTTATAACTTCCAGGTCTTATACATCATACTTAGGAAAGAAAGCATGATTTTAACTGATGGTTCACAGGAAAAAATTTTCAGTTTCTTTAGGACTTTTACAGTTCAGCCAGATGAACAGAGAAGCTTCCTTTCAAGTTGAGAGTAGTTTCCATTATGCCTGAATCAAAATACATTTTGGGGAAAGGGATAAACACTTTCTGGAAATAATTTTGCAGAGTATCAATCACTAAAATAGGACTATTTGTATTCCCAGCAGCAGTTGACTATAAGCTTTTGAAATCTTGGACTCTGTCTTAAAACTATCAGATTTGATTTTTACTAGTCCTTGCAATATTTGAGTGCATCCATTTAAGATCTCTACAGATAGGAGAAAATAGCACCATATACTCCACGTGCATGAAGATTGAAGATAATAGTTGTATAGGTACTTACTGAAGGAGAAAGACTTGGTGAGCCAGCTAATTACATCAGAGGTGAAATGACATACTCTGACTGGTGTGGACCATCTTTGACAGAATACTAGAAATCTCAACCCTTATTCCAGCCACAGAGAAGACATTAGGGCAGAAATGTCATCACTGTTTTAAACAGTGCACAGAAGAGTGAATTACGAGCTGGCATTCAATCTTGTATTTGTACTCCTATGTCCCTATTGCTTGACCTCTTTTAATGAAAGTTCCTCTATCTAGGATAATGAGTAAAAGTACTCTTTCACCATTTTTTTCCTCCAGAATTAATGTTTTACACCTAGAGTTCAGGAAATTTATTTAAAACAGGGCACAAAGCTACAATAATGATCTTTACCAGTAAGATTTAGTTTATTTTCTACTGGAAAAATTTATCTAAATAGACTACAAACCATCTTTACCAGGTTTGTGGAAATTCAGATGGTCTACAGGTGGACTGTCACTCAGTTGCCAAATTGTTTTCACTTTTTTCTGACCACTATTTATTTCCACTTTCCACTTCTGTGGTTTCTCACTAAAGAAAGAAAAAAGATCAAAGGGATAAGAAAAAGTTATTTCCTTCTTTCCTTCTACAGTCATTTTGTGAAGTCCTTATGTGATAAGCACTGAGGAAGAAGAGATGAACAGGCCACAATTCTAAATTTCAGATTTTGAGTTTGAACCACCTATAGGGCATTGAAGTTGGGGATTCACATCTAATAGGCTTTCAGAAACAAGGGTCGGAAGCTCAGGAGAAGCTGGAAATATGGGCTATAAATTATCAGTAGCCCAGAGGAATTGAAGTCTTGAGTATGACGACAACCACCCAGGGAAGACAGAAAAGAAAAAGGTGGACTTCTGTTGACAACTCACATGTAAGAAACAGGAAGAGAAAGAACCTGAAAAGAGAATTCTTCACAATTCTTGGAAGTGGGCCAGAGAGGCTGAATTAAAGTTAAGTCAGAATGCTACGTAAAGCAGGGAAAAGGATAGGTTCAAGCAGCAGCGGTGTCAACTGCCCAACAGCCTGTGGTTGCTCACTGAGGTGCTTACTGAAGGAGAGAGAACTGGGAGGCCAGCTAATTACACAGGGGGCTAAAAAACACTGTTTTACTAGAAAGTCTCCACTGGATCTGGTGACTGGAAGGCCACTGGAGACCTTTACCCAAGCAGTTTCAGGGGGTGATGGGGTTCGGCCAGGAGGAAACGAAGCAGAGGGAGCATGTAAATAGAGTGGCTTTAGTGTGAGAGGAATTCAAGTACATTATATGCTGAGGGAAGAGCTGGGGAGACCGCCCGCGGCGACCTCAGTGCCCCATGGATGGCTGACCTGTCACCCCCGTCATCCTGGCCTCACTCTCCACCCCTCCCCTCCTCCTCTCACTCCCACAGCCACAGGCTTGACTTCACTGTCATTACTCTGATCCCTTTCCTCCAAATCTGTCATTTCCCTTTTAGCTGTATTTTTCACCCTACTTTGTAAAGCAATTGTCAGAAAAATGAAAGACTAGAGGCCAAATTACCAAAAGAGAGGAGACAAAGGCCCAGGAGAAGGAAGAGGGAGAGAACTCACTCAGACGATGGTCAGAGAGCAGGATAGAGATGGTTAAGGGTTCAGAGGTGAAACAGCTCTAGGTCATGATGTCTTCATGGAATAGATATAACAAAATTGCCTAGAATTATGGCCAAAGTATAATTTAATTATTACTTACTTTTGATACAAGTTTTTTACAGCAGTTGGTCTGACTGGCAGCTGAAAAATGTGTTGCTCATCAAGAGGATTTTGTTTGTAATATTTTATGCAGGATCTGAGAAAAAAAACAATCTCTCTTGGAAAAAAAGTCCCTCTTGGAGATATAGGCTTTCTGGTAGTCCAAAGCTTACAAAGGAAACATTTTATTCAATACCACTAACCATAACATCAACCAAAGAATAATTTCAGGGCCATGAAAGTAAACGAACAAAAGTTAGGTTATGTTTTTTTTTTCTTTCAAAGAAATTCTCATTCACTTTTAAAAACAGTAGACATATTTCTTATAAATATAAAATATATTTAATTTGAGCCTGAGTAAAAGCTTCACTAGAGAGAAAAATGTATCAGAAAGAGAAAAATGAAAAGAGGCAAAAAAGAGACAAAGATACAGCCTCCAGGGTTTTTTGAAGTCTGGGAATTAAAGAGTTAACTATTTTATACTACTGATCTTTAATGGAAACAGAACCTTTTAGATTCTGTAAATAATAACAATTTCAAACTTTTCCCTTAACAACTGGGACAAATTCCAATTTTGGAAAATATAATGGTATATTTCCTTCCATCGGGAAAAAGAAACCTAGTTCTTCCACTGGTTGGTTTACTTATTTCCAGTTTGAGGTCTCAAAGACATGTAAGACACCAGCAATGCACGTATGAGGATTATTCCAAATTGTCCTTAGCAGGCTGATTGGCAGAATCTCTACAATTACAGCAACACTGTTGACAGAGGTTTGGTAATAATATTTGAGTCCATTCAGTTACCATATAGGTGCTTAGCAATGATTAGCTTGTCTTAAATTTATAAGGATATAAAGAAAAGAGAAGGAATATTTATTAAGCACCTATTAAGTATCAGATACTTTATACTCATTACATTAGTTAGTTCTGACAATAAACACATGAGGTTACTAGATCCTTTTCACAGATGAGAAAACAAGATACAGTGAAAGGACACTTCCTCAGGAAGTCAGAAAGTGCTGGGGCCAAGTGTCAAATGTGACTCCTGACTACAAAGCCTTTGCTTGCTATGACAGTGACAGAACCTTTCTGCTCCTACAAAGATAAGGTACACAAATTCTAACCGAACTGGAAATAAAAACTGCACACATTTTGGCTGCAACTATTTCAGAACAGAATACATTTTTATGTAAGGAAATAAGAGAGAAGTACTTACTGTGTTAAAGAAAAGAGGAGCTCATGTTGAGGTTTAATGAAAAGCATGCAACTGACTACTATTTCTAGAATATGGTGGAGTTTTTGAACACGATAAACCTGTTGTTGTATATCCACTGATGGAGAAATGAAATATTCCTGGAATGAAAAACAGTACAAGCAAAACAAGGAGTTAAAGAACAAGTAGAACCTTTAGAAAGAATACAGCTATGCCTGCTAAATCTAGACCACGGCTTACCAAGAAAGGAAAGCTCAATAGGATTTACCACCTCTTACCTTTCAATACTATTCTTTAAACTAAACTGTAGGCGAAGTATTCACTGAGATGTTCTAAGCAAACCATTACACAGTCTCTGGAAAAGGCAAATCACAGAACGGCTTCACCAAGGAAGCCCAAGAGGGTAACTACTACCACCAAGCTCTCCAGATGGAACAAATGGCAAATCCACAAGATAATTCTTAACTTCAATACTCTTAATAGGTTGATGGAAGTGTCCACCTCTAAAAATAGGTAATAAATCTGCAGTACCAAAAAGTTAATCAAGTGTATTGATAAGCTTCTGCTCCAAATATATTACTGGTAAATTGGTACAACCCTTTGAAAAAGAAATTTGGCAATGTAGGTCAAGCCTCATGAAGAGCTCAGACCTTCTAATTCTATTTCTGAGAACCCATCCTTAGGAAATAAGCCACGGTCAATGTGGTAGGTGGCATTCTATGATGACCCCCAAGAGTCCCAACCCCCTTGCAGTAGACATCTTGTATAGTCCATTCCCCTTGAATGAGTCCAGAACTTGAAAATAGGATGGGATGTCACTCCCATGATCAGGTCACTCATCGACTGACCTTAGAGTTACTCAAAAGGGAGATTATCACTGATAATCACTCTGACCTAATCAGAGGAGCCTTTGAAAAGAAGGTGAAGCATCACAGATGCTCCCCTGCTGGCTCTGGAGAAACAAACTGCCTGTCACATCGTGGAGGGGGCCCCAGGGCAGGGGCCCGCAAGCAACCTCTGGGCCAACAGCCAGCAAGAAAATGGGGGCCTTCCTCATAGGGCCACAAGGAAATGAGTTCTGCCAGATGAGTGCACAGCCTGCTGACACCCTAAGCAGAGGACTTCGCTAAAACGTGCCCAACTCTCGACCCTAGAAGCTGACTTAATAAATTTGTTAAGCTTAAGAAGTTAAAACTATTAAGTCAATACCTTTGTGAAAGGCTTAAGCTTCTAGGTTTGTAGTGCAGTAGCTCCCCCACATCTGCAGTTTCACTTTCCACGGTTTCAGTTACCCACAGTCAACCTCGGTTTGGAAGATGATCCTCCTTCTGATGTATCATCAGAAGGTCAGTAGTAGACCAGTGCTATGTCACAGTGCCTACGACACTCACCTCACTTCATCTCATCATGTAGGCATTTTATCATCTCACATCATCACGAAGCAGGGTGAATACAGTGAAATAAGGCATTTTGAGAGAGAGACCATGTTCACACAATTTATCACAGTATATTGTTATAATTCTTCTATTTTATTATTCGTTATTGTTGTTAATCTCCTGGTGGGCCTAATTTATAAATTAAACTTTATCATAGGTAAGTACAGATAGGGCTGGGTACTATCCACGTTTTTAGGCAGCCACTGGGGCTCTTGGAATGCTTCTCCTGCAGGTAAGGACGGACGACTGTAAATGTTTGCAGCAATAGAAAACTAATACAGATAGGGAAAAGCATCAGAGTTATTTGGAGTGTGAGATGGCTTGTTTAAAAAGACATATTCCTGACTCTAGAGCTACTGAGCCACTGGGGCCCAGGAATTAGCATTTTAATAAGCCTGAAGGTTCTCAAAGCTTAAAAACTACTGTGTCAAAAGTTTGGGGTCAAACTGTATTTTTTTAAAAAGCAGGCATATGAAATGACTAGAGGGGGATTCATGAAAATAAGGAGTACTCATATTTGGGTGATAATATTAAGGGTATATTTGTCCTGTATTTTAACTGAAAAACGTTATTACTTTCCTAAATTTAAAAAAATGTACAGAAACACCAAAGCATGCCTCTCTGGACCATGTGCATGTGTATATATAGATTTTTTTTTTTCTAGAACATGTTTCCACTAAAAATAATTAACCCTTAATAAAATGTTAAAATTTAAATACCATAATTTAACCCTCAAAAGAATCTATTTGAATCGTACTTTGCACAACAGTCACAGCGTTTTTCTGTTTAATTTTTATAAGAGATAAATGACAAAAAGTTGATACTATAGATACATTTTCTCAAAGAATCTTTCAATGAATGTCAAGGGTCAGTACAGATGCTTCTAACCTTTCTAAATCAGTACACTAGGAAAATACAATAAAGCTCATAATTATGACATTGAAATCCAGAGGTATCTTTTGAATCAATATATTAAAGAACATAAATTTCTGGAAAATATTCTTCATGTATAATAGAAATTGGGTAGGAGAATATAGAGCAAATGCTCCTTTATAGGACCTATCAAAGAAAGGTATTAGTGAGAGTAGAGGGAGTACATGGGATTGAGCAGGATACAACTCCAAATCAGTAGCATAAATTTAAGAGAATGAGAATTTACATTGAATGAGCTACTTTTTTGTCTTTGACTGCCTCATTTATCCGTTTCCTAAAACATGGGGCAGAGGCTGGCACACAATAGGCACTTAATACCTACATGCAGAATGACAAAAAACTAACTTTAGAATAAAAAAGTAAACTCACCAAATGATTCAAAGATGCAAGTTCCTGACCTATTAAGAAAAAACACATATATACAGATAAGCTTTAGGTATTATCAATTGTTTTTTAAGAGGCCTCAGTAAAAAAGTAAACATTTTCAGAATTCATATATAAAGCAGATGTTTAAGCTAAACAGTTCCTCAGAAATGGCCGAATTTTCTGGCACATTACACCATAAATATACACTGGCGCTTATTCTAAAAATGATCATAGCTTGCCCCTTACAAAAACAACCAAGAATAACCAAGTGTTGAGTATTAACATAGCATCTCATAAAAGTTTTTATTTACTACACCAACTTCATAGAATCTCAAAATGTTTGAACTAAAAACAAAGAAAGAAAACTACAGTTTTAATGTAATACTTTTACTGAGAGGGAACTAAGGACCAAAGAATGCAAGTGCCTGTCTTACAGTGAACCAGGGGCAAAGCCAGAACTACAAATGACTCAGGACAAGTAGAGAGATAAAATCTGGAAATAACTACAGCTGACAACTGTGATGTACTTTTTAATTTTTTGAGCTGGGAAAAGGACTTACCTATGAAAAAACTGATATAATCTTTCTTTAGTTTGTCCAAACCAATTTCCAAAAGCATCTGAACTGGAATAGTCCCACTGAGAGAAACTGTGTCCATGCGTCCATGATAAGACTGATGAATGAGCTTACTTAATAAACTGTTACTCCCACTATGGAGCTGGAAATCAAGAACATTTTTATAAAACTACAAATAAAAATATAAGTAAATCCAATAAGCAAAAGTGAAGCAAACTGCATTGGTTACAAGCTGAAAATTAAAAGCTTGCATCTGTAGTCTTCTGCTACTATAAATTGTTTGAGTAAAAGTCCCTAAGTTACAAATGTCAATTTCTAAAGTGTCATTCCTACATCACTTGCTTACGTCCAAAACAAATACAAAGAGTTTAAACTTATCATCCCTAGATACATTTCCACCAAAGAGGAGACAGAGTTGGTCCTTTGAAACTTTACAATTAGGCATTTTTCTCCTGGCTGATTAAGTGCTTTGTGCATCTTTTCCAAAACTGAACATCTTCATCTACATGGAAAATCTGGGCTGCTACAGGAAAACTCTCTCCCCCTCAATAGTCCATGCATGCATCAGAAGGAACTCCTTACTGGCTACAATATCAACATACTAACTAGATCATTTGCACATTAAAAAGAGCTATGAACTTATAGATACAGCATGTGTTCCAAATACTAATTCGTTTTAAACATACCTAAGATATTTGGCATTTCCTATTACCTCTAATTTTAATGATAATCTCTTGCATTTTTTAATAAAAACTATTTGCACATGGTAGTGATATATTTGTAAACGTCTCACCAACACAGAGACTTTCCTGAGAAAAATTAAACAGCCAAGACTAAAATAGCTACAATGACTAATGCCCAGTTAGGGGCAGAGTTTGCAGGCCTTTGCTTTGGACTGTATCTTTGTTCACACCTATGAAAGTTTCTAAGTTTCACAGTCATGAACTGGCAGCCACATTATTCAAAAGAATTCCTATTAAATGAGGACTCTTTTCATTTCTAGTTTTTTATTTAGCTTTTTTAAATCACAAAAGCACAGTGTCATTATAGAAAATACATAAAGTACAGAAATGTATAATGCACTTGGAAAAACTCATTTGTAACCTTAATACTTATAGCTGTAACTTTTTTATGGGTGATTGCTATAACTTTTTAGTACGTTTCCAGGTTTTTCTCTCCAAAAAAAATTTTTTTATGTAACAACATATAGTCCTCTTTACTGACCATTCTAAACATTTCTCTACATCATCTGTCAGTATCATTTTTAGCAACTATTACATGTGCCACTATGTGGTTATATCACTGCTTACTTAATCATTCAATCAACAGTGGAAATTTAGGTCATTTACAACTTATTGCTACTGTGGGGCTTGATGACTATTCTGATATACAAGATCTTGATGCCTACCTTCTCATACTTCTGTGTATGTAGGATGGCTCCTAACAAAAAAATCACTGATTCAGAGGGCGTGATACATTTTGAGGATCTCAATACCTTAACAAAATTGCTTTTTAGAAAGCATCCCAGTATGTACTCTCATCAGTAGTATATGAGGATGATTATTCATAGCAGCAGTAACAACAATATTAGTATCTTATGAACAGTAAACACTTAATTATGAGCTAGGTGCAAGGCACTCTACATGAATTAAATTATGTAGCCCTGAACACCACCATGAGGTAGGCACTATTCCTACCCTACTTCACAAATGAGGACACTGGGGCACAGAGAAGTAAAAGAATCTGCTCAAGTTTACACAGCTAGAAAGTATCAGGGATGAAATTCAAACTCAAGAGAGTCTGTTCAGAGCCTGTGCCCCTACCTGTCCTGCCACGCTTCTGAGAAAGCTTTTGATTCTAGCACACACACCGCTACACCTACCCACGGCTGTAGCTCACCACGCCGCAGATTCTGGATGATCAATGTAAAACACTTCACCAGGTCTTGATATGAAATCACACCTTGATAGGAAAACAAGTGAGTCCAACATTATTTTCATGGTATTTCTGCAGATCAAATACACCATTCATCTTAAGGATACACAAATTAGTAGAAGACAAGTGTTTCTGTACTTTATGGATGGAGAAGAGGAAAAAATTAAATGCAAAAAAAACCCTAACACATTTCTAAAGTTAAGAAATTAAAGTCATTGTCATAAAATAACACTGTAAAATATTAAGGAGTATCTTTTCCTTTTTCTAATAATTTCACTAAGGTTTATATTTTAATAAATACAGCATAAAAACCACCTCCAACTTATCCTTAAGGCAGGAGAAAACAGATTCCATGAATTGCCTTGTCTTAGTACAATTCTTGAGTATAAGGTACCAATGCATTACTAGAAATGAATTCGATAAAATAAGATCCACACTTCCACACAAGACTAGCAGTACATACTGTATTGTTGCCAAAAGACTTTTAAAAGAATAACAGAAAAATGTTTATTTCACTCTCAGGATGGACACCTACTGCTGCTCATTTTGAACCACAGCTGCTCAGCAAAGTCGAGATCACCCCGCACTGTGAAAAGACACTCAATGGAACGATCAACGGCTGCACTGTCATGCTTCACTGTCTAGAAGAGAAGCAAACATCAGAGAATACTCAATTTAAGAAAAAGTGAAATAGTTGAAGGACAATGAGCTTTTAAATGCTGCTCCAAGAAAATGTGGATTCATGAACACACACACAAAAAATATGAATGAATTTTGTAAACTTCATTCGCTGATGAGGAGATGCAAATCAAGAGTAAAAAACTGGATCCCTGGAACTCTCTTAAAATTGTGATGCCTAAAAGCAAGCATTCAACTTTCCTTCATGTAAAAATATTCAATTCAATAATCTTTGTCTCCATTTTCCTCTTTACCAAATTATAACCTATTTTGTTTCATTTAATGCCACATATGGCATATTAACATATCATCTCACAGTATGTTAATATACTATAACAATACCATCTTAAGGTAGATTAACATAGTCACTTCTTCTCTGCAGTTGAATAATAATGCATAAGTTCTCTTAAAATATATAAGTTCTTAACAAAAACAATCACTAGTGCTAACATTAAAGAAAAACAAAAAACTACCCTCAAAATGCTGCCTTGGCTGCACCAGATCCACTTGAGGTGGTATGACATGAAAGCCAACCACAACTGCATTTTGAAAGCTACTTTAGTGTACATCTCTAACTGATGTAATAATCACTTACCTCTGTGTCTTTTTTTGTAGAATCACCAAATCCATCCAGTTTATTTAAGTCTAGAAAGTGGCAAAAACTTATTAATTCTGGATCTTATTTTTCTGCTTTCTAAATGATTTCCATCCTAGTCCTGTCTTCAAATGGTAAATGAGGACACTAGAAGTATAACCAGGGATTTCAGTAAATCACTTAACTCTCTATTGGAGATCATAATAAATAACCACCAGGCAGGGCTGGGAGGATAAAATGAGATCCAGCAAAAGCCCCTGATAAACAATGTCAGGCACATGGTAGTTATTGTTCCATTCCTCTTCTCTTATAATCTCAAATATAGTTGTGGTATATACAGTTTAAATTAAATATTATTATTTCTTAAAATTACTTAGAACTTTTACCATTAGCAATTCAGAATGAAAGCTGTCCCTCTAACCATGACAGATCTCATAGCTTTTCATATATTCCAATTAAAAAAATACCAAGCCTAAAAAGGTAACTTATATTTAAATATAAAAAGTATAAATTCTCAGTAAAGAAAAATAAACAATATACAAGCATGAGTTAGGAAAACAAACACCATTCAGAAACTCCTGCACAAGTTCAACAGCAGATTTTGCTTCCAGAGGCTCAGGCCACTCAGTTACACCAGTCCTCAAACCATCAGCCAAAACCTATGAGAGATTAAAAAAAAAAAACAACCAAAGAACTTTTTAGCAGAAAACAGCTTATTCAATAGGATGTATTTAATAACATTAGTCATTGTAATAGTTCTTGAATGTTTAACCACATGCCAGGAACTACTCTAAGTGTTTTTTTTACATGTAGTTTGGTATTTCACCCTCTCAAAAACCCTGAGGCAGATACTACTATCATGCCCATTTTCGAGGCTAAGCTAGGTTAAGGAACTTGCTCAAGGTCACACAGTTACTACCCGGCAGTGGCAGGACATACATCCGGCAGTCTCATGTCCAAGAGAGCGTCCTGCACTATCATGCCCTGTGCAGAGGCGCTACAGAGGATTCAAGACTGATGGGCCACTTCGGACGTGGCTGTAATTTCCGTTAAGAAGGACTGACAATACGGATGCAACAATCAGGGAAAAGCAAACGTGAAGCTGAATGGAAGTTTATATTAAAATAACATAAACACATATGCCTAAACTAAAGCAAGGAAAAGGGGTTACGAAAGGTGGGAAAAGCTAGAGGAGTAATGTGAGACAGCCGCTCAACTCGAACGAGGGAACTGCCAGTCACAGAGCACGGAAGGTGGAGACAACACCTAGGGGACAGCAGGAAATGGGATTAGAAGGAATAGGGGCCAGACAGGAATAGTGATCTCTAAACCTGACAAGATTTTTTTTTTTATTTCATTGGAAGACAACAACTACTCTTGATTTTTTAGCAGGAAAATGACATAATCAAGTGGTTAAGAATTCCTGTCAGCCATCCCCAGGGTGGATTCTATGGGGGAAAGTACAATGTTTCTCAATACAAGTGATATCATCATCTACCACCAGATGGTCTTGGAAAAATGTGTGGATAATTTTTGGTGTCACAAAGACTAGGGGTACAGGAGCACTTCAAGCATTTACTTTGGTAGTGGCCAAGTATACTGTCTGTGGCCAAGGATATTATACTGTTATGTGAACAATGGTCCCAAACCACCAAGAACAGCTCTGCCCAAATGCTCATGGTGTCCCTGTTGAGAAATGATGAATGATCATTAGCGTGGCCCAGGAGGGAGGTGAAAAGGGCTGTAACTAAGATTGGGCAGTGAGAGAACATTTAAAGGAAAAAACTCACAGTTTATTCCACAGAGAGAGAGACAGAGAGAAAAGTATATGTGGAACAAGAAAAAAGCTTACCCATTTATAAAAATACAGGGGATTGAACTTGGAGAGACTATGGTCATGTGCACATCTAAGATTCTGTGAATTTATAAGGGAGATTATAACAAAGTATGGACTTTCAAGTCAGATGGATATACATGTACTTGAATGTATTTGACAGACATGTTATTTAAACCAGCTCTTCCACTACAGTTGTCAATGCCTCAGGTCAAATAACCAAACCATCTAGCATCATGTGCTGGCACAGGGAATGGCAGCTTCTAGTGGTGGTAGTGGCAGAAACAGTTCTTACTATAGTAAAGTACAAGATTTCTAAATTGAAGGAATGGTAAAACCATAGACAGAAATGAGGGGGGGTCTCTAAGAGGATCTAGTATTGAGATTTTCAAGTTTCATTTTGGAAATACTGAGTTGAAGCCATAGTACTCTGCTCAAGTGGAAATAATTTGGTGGATGTGGGAAAGACGGGAACTGGTATCAGCTTCAAGAAGGAAGTCTGGAGTCCCCTCGTAAAGCATTAGTTGAATCACTGACAGGACAAGCTCTCTGCCAGGGTGTGGAGAGAGACAGGCAGAGAGCTGAGAGCAGAAGCATGATGGAAGTCCACGGTGAGGGTCCTGGAAGAGGGGCTTACAAGAAAGAAAGGTGAGAAGGTAGAAAATGTACTACGTTGTGTACAAACAGGGAAATAATGATTGGTGATACAATATTAAAACTGCTTGGTACTATGCCAGATGCTGAAGGCACAACAGAGTACACTCCAGTCTAGTAGGGAAGACAGAAAGTAAATAATTGTATTTGACAAGCACTCTGACAGGAGGTGTGTGTGTGTGTGTGTGTGTGTTGCTCCACAGCAGAACAAAGCACTGGCAGAGAGCTCACCCAGCAAGGAGGCAGGAGAAGGGCACACCAGAAAGTGACACTGTGACAGGACGGGAGCTACCACAAGCAGGGAGATCGACGTGGTGAGGGTTTGGGTTCAGTAGGAGCAGAAGAGGGTGTGAGATTAAGCTAAAGAAGTAAGTAGGAGCCATTCAGAATATGAAAAGATCCTGAAAGTCATTAGTCACCAGGGAACTACAAATCAAAACCATGGGATACCACTTTATCCCCACTAGGACGGCTATAATAAACAAAGGACAATATCAAGCACTGGCAAGGATCTAGAGAAATTGGAACCCCCATGTACTGCTGGGTGGGAAGGTAAAATGGGGCAGCCACTTTGGAAAACGGTTATAGTTGGGCAGGCCCTCAAAAGGTTAAACATAAAGTCACAATATGACCCAGCAACTCCACCCAAGAGATGTGAAAAACTGTCACACAAACACTTGTACACAACTGTTGGCAGCATTACTCATAATAGCCAACAAGTAAAAACAACAAATGGATGCATGGTTAAACAAAAGTGGTGTATCTATACAATGGAATGCAATTCAACAATAAAAAGGAACAAAGTAAGACAAACAGATAGTGGCTTCCAGGGACTGGTGGGGGAGGGAGTGACCACTAATGGGCATGAGGTTTCTTTCTGGAGTGATGAAAATACTCTCAAATTAAATATGGTCACGGTTGGACAACAATACATGTAAGTACAGTAAAAAACATTGAATTGTACACTTAAAACAAGTGAATTTTATGGGATATAATTTGTATCTCAATAAAGCTGTTAAAAGAAAAAAAGTCAGTAGGCCAGTGATGTAACTGGCTTTGTAGGGACATACTGGCTTTGTAGGCCAGGCAAGGACATATGGATTTCTACAGCGTTAAAATGAGGCGCTCAGTTTGTACAGTAGAGCTGAAATTACTAACACATAAAATTCCTGAAACACATGATTAATCTTTAGCATCAATCAAAAAACCAATCCAGTTATTAACAAGTAGATTATATATGTATTAAGAATAAACTGGCAATTGATTCATATGAAAACAGGGGAATCCATATGAATAAAGACCAAATACTCCCGTAGAAAAGGCAGAACTGTAGCTATTAGCTACTTAACACTCCCTTTAATTCTAAGGACAACCACCACGTAGCAAAATTAAACTGCCCTAATTGCCAAGAGTACCTAATACATAACACTCAAAAGACATTTTGAAGAACACAAAAATAACATCATTAGCAAAATTTTTTATGAAAACATGTGATTTAATGCAAGCTACAAATTCCTGAAGGATACTCACAATGAGAAATTTCAGTTCTCTGTGAAGATGATTCAAAGGACCTCTGGGTTCTCCCAATTCCACTTTAATATTCTAAAAAGTTCCAAAAAGTTTTAAAAGGTCAGTTTTCACTGGTAATCCCATCTTCTCTGCATAAGGGTCACAGTTACTTGCATTTCAAATCACTCATGCATTAAAAACTATATTTCAGAAAGTACTAATAAATTGAAAAAGTGGGGTAATGTTTCATTTAGAACTCCTTATTCAGAGATACCATAGATTCTGTCCATCCCAATACAGTAACCTAAATTCATGCCACCACAACCTCTCTCTATACCAGAATTCTACCTACGTGCAACAACTGTTCTGTCCTTTCCCACAGATGTTCCAAGAGGACAAGTAGGAAAAATATAAATAAATACATCTCAAGACCCAATGGCAAACTTAGCATTACCACACACCAAAGATAAAACCCCCTAATAAATATGTTCACTAGACTCCTCCTAACTAAACCAACAGTGTGCTGTCTTGGCCAGAGGTCAAAGTTTTACAAACCTAAAACCTTTAAAGAAAAAAAAAAGCGGTGGTGAGAGGAATGAAAGAAAAAAGCAAATGCTGTTTTATGTAAATTCCTATTCCAGGAAAAGAAAAGCATCAGGAATATAATTATCCATAATCCCACCACCTTGAGGGAACTGTCAACACTAGCTAGGCTTCTGTATACACATTTCTTAAAAACATGGTTGAGATCCTACTATATATACAATTTTGTACATTTTCTTTCCTTTCCTTAATAATAAGTATCTCCTATTATTATTAAAGATGTTTCAAATCATGATTTTTAAACAATGGAATATATTTCATCATGGAAATCTATTTTAATCATTTCCCAGCTGAATGTTCAAGGTTTTGATTTTAACAGTATGGAAACACAGCTATTATTACTGCACTGAATATCTTTGTACACGAACTTTTATTAGCAATTGGATCAATTTTTAAAGACAGATTCCTAGAAATGTGAATATAGGGTGAAAAGGCTTGACAGCATGATTCTGATGTGTTGCCAATATCTGCACTCCTTTAAGAATAGCAGAGG